CCCCAAAACCCCAAAACCCCAAAACCCCAAAACCCCAAAACCCCGAGTAATATTAGTTTCTGAAAGTTAAAGAATTAACCAATAAAATAAAGTTATTTAAATATATAATTAGGAATTTATCAAGATAAATTTCCCATCAGCTTTAAAATTATTTATATATACTATTGAAAAAGATTTATAAAATGGACAAATCGTTCAATCATTATGATTCAGATGATGAAAGTTAAGAACCTGAATAATAAATTTGGAAAAATCCAGATTTTGTTCACGAGGGTAGAACTATGAGAGGAGACAGAAGCCGTATAGCTAATAGAGGATACGGAGAAATCAGAGGTGATATAGGCTTCAGGGGAGATAGAGGATTTAGAGGAGATAGAGGCTTCAGAGGTAGAGGATTCAGAGGCGACAGAGGATTCAGAGGGGACAGAGGATTCAGAGGTGATAGAGGATTCAGAGGAGACAGAGTATTCAGAGGTAGAGGATTCAGAGGATACAGAGGAATAGTACTTGAGGTACATCAAGATGATAGAGGAAGAGATCCCTCAAGAATAGAATAAATTGATTAAGATATGCGAGAAGGTTCAATATCGAGACGTGGTGAATGCTTTCCAATTGAAAGAAGGTCTAATGCTGATTTTTATGATACATCACGACCATATAGAGCAGAATATAGAAGTTAAAGTGGATTTAGAGGAATGGGTAGAGAAGGAGGAGAATTTGACAGATTTTCTAGGCCATCTTATATTTAAAATTCAATAGTAAATGGTTTGGCTGAAATTCCACCAACTTCAGGTTGGTTCAACAAATCGGACTAAACTCCACAAGCTATTGCCGAAGCAGTCATGAATACCAGTCTTGAACTGACTCATGCGAATTATTTAGATTTTTGCAATAAGTTACTTGAGTTGTGCAATAATGTGTTTTAGCTGTCAAGATGGGATGATTATAGAGAAATACCTACTAAAAACTTTATCAAGTAATAGATAGTGAGTACAAGTGCATTTTTAAAGATTGAACTTCACCCACACAATTTCATTACACAGATAATAAGCAAAATCGAGATAGCAAAGCACTTTATCTTTAAGAACAACATCATATATTAATTGCTAGACGACTTGGTGACCAGCTCATAAAATTTGCAAACAATGAATGATCCGCAAGACGGAGAAAAACTTGCAAAAAACTTAAATGAGTTGAACATTCTTGGATAACCAGCATAGTAGGATCTTGATTATATGATATTCAAGCTCTCAAATCAGAAACTATTTTGATATTGAATAATTTTTAATAAGATTTGACTTAAACGTTAGCTTGAAATTATTGAAATTTAATAATTATCAAATGGATTTAAAATGAATGAACCAATATAATCTTGCTATTTATGTATCATGGGGTTTTGGGGTTTTGGGGTTTTGGGG